AACATGGCTACCATAAGAATCAAAATACAAAAAGCTCCAACATCAAACTAGCCTAAAAGATAGTAGAAGAAACAAAAACCCAAATGAATACAAAACCATTTCATTTCAAAAAGGTAGACAAGGGGAATAATGATCAAAATAGACAACAATAATTTTTTCTCTCTTAGATTTTTTATTTTTTATTTTTTTTTAATATTTTATATAAAAAATATAATAATTTATTTGTGGGGGCCTTCAAGTTCAACCTCAAGGGAGAATAGAGCCAATTGGCAACAGTTTATCAAAGAGAATGGAGGTGGTTCATAGTTACGTCATGTTTGTTACTTATCAAAGAGAGTGAGAAAATAAGGGACCGTTTGGTTGCACAAGTTGACAAGGTCTTTGGGAAAAAAATAATGTTATTAATTACTCGGTTACTCCGTATTATGTACTTGTAAAAAATGACACATTTTTTGGTGGAGTTTGAGCTTTTCTTTCAAACTTTTTTAAGAAAATGACTTAAGTTGGTTTAAGTCACTTGCAATTTTTTCATATTATAATTCTCCCTAGGATCCCAAACAACATTATATATTTTTTATCTTTTGGTGATTTATTTTTGGTGCAATTATCTTTTGGTGATTTTGATATTAGATTAATTGAGGTGGTCCTTGTGTATTCACATTATCAATTACTCCACTATACTTATAAATTAATAGGGGATATTCCTCTAATCTTTGATTTATGATAGAATACTAGTTTGACTACAATTGTTTGTAATAGTTGCTTTGCATCATGTTCTACTTCACTTTCTTGTACTCTTAAGGCATACCAAAGCAATTTCATAGGACATACTTTGTCCTTTAGATTGGGGTTTAAGGATATATTCTTTTGCGTAAATTTCCCTTATTTAAATTTGTTTGAGCTTGTTTTCTAATTCTTATTTTAAATTGTTTGAATATACTCTTTTTGTTATCATAATTTTCTTAAGATGGAAATTGAGAAATATTAGACCATCTAAACTTGTTTTAATTTTGTTTGGTAAGTTACATCATAATGGCTCAAAACTAGATCATACCAAATAAAATTGAGGGATTTTAATCCAGTCATATATTTCAGTAATAAATTAATTTAAAATCACATGCATTCCTATTTAAAAGTAAAGATATACAAGTATATTAAACTTTGGTATGTTTATTCAATTTTGACATCTGATTGTTATAAAAATACTTGAATATGAAATGCAACCTATATTTTTGTGGAAAGAAAAAAAATATATAGATTGTTTGTTTTTTTTTAAAAAAAAAAAAATTTAAAAGACAAAGACTATATGCATGTTGCAATTGTTTAATTATTCAACAATGATACGACACAAGTTTCAAATGTTCATTGTTGCAAGTTACTCTAAGCACATTTTGTATGTATTTTGAACTTTTGAAGTGGACAAATCAGAGAGTATATTATTATGATTAGGGCTCACCTCAATTATGAGGAAGATTGCATATACTGTACAAAGTTGTGTAGTTATGGAGTAACACTTACCAAGTCACCAAACAATCACACAATTCACACCAAGATATACTTCATCTGTTATTTTTTACTTGACCTATTTCTTTTATCACGTTTGTCAACGCAAAACTTTAATGATAAATAACTTTAATTCTCGATAAGTAAAAATTATAAAAGTTATATATTATGATAATACTTGTTGAGAAGAATTTAAAAATATCTTTCATGAATATGTTTTCTTTAAATATTATTCACAAAACACGGTCAAAGGAGGAGTGGTGAATAGTGTAAAAGTCAAAGCGGATCAAGTAAAAAAGAACGGAGGAAGTATATGTTAAAAAAAAAAAAAAAAAAAAAAAAAAAAAAAAAAAAAAAAAAACCGTTAAGGTTACTGTTACGCTAGCATCCTACAACTGTAGTTCCTACTTTCTACCCATGAAAATTAGTGTATGATTGAATGTATGATGCCATTGAGATTTCAACCTCTATTCAAATGTCATGTCAAATTATTATAAAAAGATGTTGACATGCATAGAATAGCCTTACAATCATCAATGTTGAGCCCAAATAAATCTAACAATAAGCTAGAAGAACCCATACCTAGCTACGAGTAATATTTTTACCATTCTTCAAAATTAAATACGTAGTACTCCGTATATTTTTTTTAATTCAATTTATTCATAAATAAAAGTCATATGACATATACAATGAGATTTATATCTGACAAATACATCATCGTTGAATCAAATAAAAACATCATCTTTATAAAGCTACGATCGTTATTGCAAATCATGTACTTTTCGTATCCTCTTTTATATTGTTGTGATTTACCGTCTTTTTTTACGAGGGGTCCAAATTTTATCATTTTATGGAGTACGATTGAACTTTTAAACAAGTCACAATAACCTATATTACTTTGTGCAGGTTAGGAATCAAAGTACTCATCCTTTATGCATAAATGCATGTCATATTGTCAATCACTCAATTTTATTACTAAGAACAAACAAAACCTCCTCAAGTCCCAAACTTCTTGTTACAATTTTGATACGCACGAGTAATATAACAGATTTTAGAATTTTTAAAGTTAGTATCTTTTGTGTCTTTCACTCGATATCACCCAATTGGAACAATCAACTTTTGTCTTTTATAACTTGTTTTTCTTCGCGTGAAAAATATTGCTATTAATTGACTTTAGGCTTTCCTATTCATCAATTGCAATTTTAATCAAACTCAATGATTTGAAGGAAATTTACAATCAACGTGCTTTAAGTATTTTTTCTCAATGAGGCTAAACGGATTTGTACCCGTTGGACTTGGACGTGATGGTTCGAAATCAACCATTTTCAAGGACTCTATTAAGAACTAATTTCGATCTAATATCTATTATAAGTCTATATCTAATTGTGCACGTACACTCTGTATATAACTAACGAGGACATATATATATATACTCCGTACCAAGTAAAGCTTGACTCACTTATTAATAAATTTATTACCTAAAATCTTAAAGGTATGACCGGTAAAGATATCCATGGAAGTAAATGCATTATAAGTGATACTACGAGTAATAAAATTGATTTATGTGGTTATTAATCACATTTTTATTGCACTTATTCTATCAGGACAAGGATTGAAAAAGATATTATTAGTCTACATACTCGTACTACACTAGACATTAATCATTAGGTCACGCTATATAACAAATCACCGTAATTAAATACAATAATTGCTAGTTTAGGACCATTTCTTAGTTCTAGAATATGGATTACGAGTACGTCGTTGTTATTGTTATATGATACAAGTATAATTTTATTATTTTTTTTTAAAAAAATATCATACATGCATCCCGTCCACCTAATTATTAAAGAGAAATCATTTAATATGATTTAAGAGATTGGAGATTAAAATAAAATTATAGTAAATGTGATCGTCACTGTAAGTCAAATAATTATGTACAATCCGATCCCATCAATTTAAGTCGCTCTACATACATTATAGGCATACATTATTACAACTTTTTTCTTTTCATGATATGCCTAGAATTGTCGTCCTAAAGGGTTGTACCGGTATCTTTTAAGCTTAATTGACCGTGTAGGTTTCAATGATAATGATGACGAAAATCAAGCGTATCTTAAAAGCTTCTAAAAAAAAAAGGAAGAGGCCGCTAGGGATTCACAATCATATAGTATAAGATGAGTGGATCCCTTCTCGCTTTGTTAGTTCACATCTTTGAAAATCAAGGGTCAGATAAGAATTAAACTCTTTATTATCTTTCGGTTGTGTATACATAGTTACAATCGAACACCCCAAACAATTTGATTGGAGCATCTCGTTATTCATATAATACGTATGGTAGGCTAGTTGTTGGACCGTGATCTTGAATCTCCTGAGAAAATAGGGCAAAGCTAAAGAAAAATGTAATCAATCAAAGTATTTTGGGAGGCAAAAATTTGTTGCCATTGAAAGTGGGTGATGCCATAATTCCTCTTTTGATGGACCAAGTACACCCACTTGATTATGTCCTTTGTAATATTTTTTTTATCCTAGGACCACAATCAAGGTAGTAGATTAGGGACTAGACTATTTATTAAAAAGTTTTATCAGACAAACTTCAATCATTTTGTTTCTTAATGATTTCATATCATACGTTATACAAAATATTATAATTATTTGAACATTGATTTTCTTATTCTCTAAATTGATTTGTGCATCTCTTTTATAATTGGCAAGAGTTTCACCTTTCACCTTTACTGTGAGATTACGAGTTTGATTGATTCTTACTAGCTACAATTTTTAGGGTTGAGCCTCCCTTACCTTATGATTCTAAGAGCACAGTCGAACGGATCATATCAGAGTCTTTGTACTTACAAAAAAAGGAAAAAATAAAACTTCTTAGTACAGTATATTATATTTCCTTCGTTTCAAAAAATGGTAACATTTTGACTACAAGTAATTTAGGAATTTTTTCTTTAAAGAAAATGTAAGAGCTTTTGTTGTTGCATATTTTATAAAACGGAGAAAGTATTAAAATTAAGGGAAAATAAAAACTCGTATAACTCATTTGTTTTACATCACAGACTCACAGTCCAATTTGTGCTTTTATTAAAGCCCAATAAGGAAAACTTCATATGGACTATTTGATATAGATGGGCTATTAACTGATTGTGAAGTCCATTGGTGTCGCATAAATTACTACAATTTGTTTTGGATTGATTTAATGGCCAACTAAAGAACCCTAAGACGTCCAACTTTACTTGACTTTTAATAACACCAATCAATGCATAAATTCATATCTCAAGTGGTTACACCTTTCTTCCCGGTTTCAGGAGATTCTGGAATCGATTCTCACTCCCGCCTTTTGTGGCTCTCTAAACACCAACCCTTTCTTGTGTTATAAGTCCTCGACCTCAACGGTGCAGCATGTAACAGATTCCTCTGAAGCTCTCAAAGTTGATCGATACACAGTTGAGAAAAAATAAGGCATAAATAAAATGAAGAATGGTTGGTGGTTAAACTTTTCACATAAACTCATTTCCACAATTAGCAAAATGCCCTATAATCCCAAATTTTTACATCTTCATATTCCTTGTACAATTATTAGTTAACTTTATACTAGTAGTACATTTCGGCAGCCCAAATATTGAGTAGAATCAACAACATTTTTTCTACAAACAGGACATGATGTACTTCGTACTAGCCATTCGTCTATGCACATCATATGAAACAAATGTTGACAATTTGGTAGCTTTCGCGCTTTTTCGCCTTCCTCAAGGTCCTAAATTCGGGATGAAACAAGGACAAGAATGAGAGAAATACAAAAAATTTACTATTATTAACAAAATCACAATTTTTAATTTCGTGTCAAATAAATTTTCTAGAAAAATAATCAATTCAGGTAAACGAGTCGTATTCATGTTTTTATATCATATTAATTATTTAGTTGCACAAGATCTTTAAAGACTGTAATTTTATAATTGATATATTTTACATGATGAGTAGTGCTAAATTGTTAAGTAATGATGCCAACAAAAGGTGAAATGTCTCCTAGTGACTAGTGTGTGTGTTTTTTTTTAAGCATGTTCACATTGTATTTTGTTGAGAAACTGAGGTCGTATTATTGATCATGATGTTGTGGCAGAAATTGTCAGCTCTACTTATTAAAAGAAAATACTTCGTAAATAATATCGTATTATGCATTAATAATGACATAGATAAACAATAATTATTACCTGTAAACAAATTGTGCAACATATATCATTATGTGAAATTGGAAGGGAAGAATTCGATGAATTGCTATGGAAATTGATCACAGGGAGCTTCTTGATCTGCTCAGGGAACATCCCTCGAATTTCGACGATGTTATATAAATCTGATCCTTCTTCATTCCCAAATAATCCCTCGTTCATACTTGTCTGGATTAAAGTAAATTCATTAACGAGCCAAATTAAAACCATTATGTATGTATTTGTTCTTAAAAATAGACGTGATTATTATTATATATGTTACTCAGACTCTTTATTTTATGTAATTTAACTTACTTGCCATTGGTACGCCTTAAGAACTGCAGGGCTGACCAATTCCCTAAAGGCCTTGCCATTAAATATGCATCCAAAAAGAGCAACCTGATTGTAACAAAATTAGTTTAAAGAATAAAATAAAAATTAGGTAATTAATTTTACACATTAAAGCAGCAATTTACAGATTTTAATTCTTAATATGTTAATTTGGTAAGGTTATTCTGATATGTAAAGCCTCGCCTTAATTTACATCCTCCAAACTATACCTACTTTTGGGGCCCAATAAAATTCAAGAAAAATATCATAGGATTGTCCTACATCCTATTATGGGCAAGTAATTTAATATTTTCTGTATAAGAGGAATAAATTCAAGTTTATACGATAAAACTATTAAAAAAAAAAAAAAAAATGGGTCCAGCTTTTATGAGTTTTATCCTTACTAAATTGAAATCTATGATCTAGATTCGCCAATTCGATGCATCTATGTTACACTCATAAGGATGGTTGATGTACATATATCTCTAGTAGACGTGACCATTTTGAGTAACACTATCAAGAGATATTTTTAGTACGCCCAGTGACGTTAGAAGATATTTTGTGAGAATTAAAAGGGAAACTTATTAAGACGGGTATTTTCTTATAATTCCATGTTAAAAAAGAAAGACGAAAAAAAAACCCTTATTTTATTAGTTTATTTTACCAAAGAATTGAATTTATGATGTCCAATTTCTTAATCAATTATATGCGTTAAATTAATATCTACATATATATTTTATCAAACTTTTTGTTGTTACATGTCCAAATCTATAATCATGATAAGTACACGATATATAATGTGATGAACAAGTTGCTTACATGATGTGTAGGGTTTAATTGGTCTATAAAAATCAATGCACAACTATATGGTCCATTGTATTAAAGCAAAATTATATGAATTGACTTGATCATATGGACCTCATCTCTAGGAAAACAATATGACATGAATTTTTTTTCTATGTACTACGGATTTTGTCATAGAAATGTCCCTCTTTTGTGAACCCACTTCTTTCAAAGCATCAATAACGTCGTGATTGAACAGTAAACCTTAATCCAATTAAGCTAGTTGATTATCCGTGTTATGTAATTAGTAATGCATACCTTGAACGGAAAATGACCATTGAGGAGTGAATCAAGCAACTCAAGGGCTACAATGGCACCGGACATGACCCCAATTGCGGCTCCTCTACATAATCCTGACTCGGTTGTTTGCCCTTTTATGGCTCCTGCAATGCCTCCTATTATCACCCCTCCTGCCAAAATATTCCCAAGTATACATTATAACATAAGAAAAAATGAAAAAATATATATATATATATTAAAACCAACAATTATTGTATGATCATAATTTTTGTTTTTGTATAGGTACATTTCACATCAAAAATAATGCATGTTCAAAATTAGTCTCTTTCGAATTTACTAATGCTTAAGTATTAAGAAAGATAAATTATGAGACTATGTAACTCAAACTCGACAATATACATGTGACCCCTCATCTAATACGTACCATCAAAGATGTTGAAAGGGTCACCAACATGAGATTTAATAAGATACAAAATATATCTATATATATTTAATTAGTAAAAGTCGAATTTTAATACATCCTTAAACACAAATATATGTAAGAAAATGAGAATTATTAAAATAAGATAATAATAAACAAACTTACCAAATGCAAATATGATGGTGGCAATGGCCAAAGCAACATTCCTCAGCAAATTGAAAGCAAATTGATGAAACCCAAATTCTCTAATGTGAATACATTCCAACAAATGAACAACCTTTCTACAAAGATAATTAAATTGTAATGAACAATTAGAACTTATTCTGTGAACATCCATTATAATTGAGAGATTTAATTTGAAGTAAAAATATCTTGGAAATTTATGGGAAAAAAAAGGGCTTGGAAAAGTGTGAAATTGAGGGAGAATGAGTAATATTGGAAAGAGAACTAAAAGAGCGAGGTTTTAAATGGGGCTTGAAACTTAGAAAATGCATTTAAGAGGGTGTGGACTACTTGCTCTTCCCTCTGCACATATATGCATGGATGGAAGAAGTGCAATTAATGTACTGGTGTAACCAAATAATTTTACCCACTTTAAAACAATGAAAATGATATATACGCTGCATTCTTAAGGGTTGCATATAAGAAATTAAAAATAAAAATATTACTCTCTTCGTTTCAATTTGTTAGTCCCATATACTATTTTGGGCGTTTCAAAAAGATATACCCATATTGAATGTATTCCACTTTTAACTTAGTTTTTATTTCCTATTTTATTCATATCAAAATTCTGATTGGTTAGATTAATTGATTGTGAATTAATGATATGACTCTAAGTAAATAAATTACTCCCTTGATTTATGCAAATATGAGTAAAGCTTTCCTAAAAAAATCAAAAATATTAAATAAGGCAAAATTATTTATGAATTGTTTTTTAATTTAATGTTAGATTCCAAATATTATCCTTTTCTTATTTTATGTGATTGATTCCATATGGGACTATCATATTGAAACGGTGGAGTAATAATTAGAAGTAATCATCAAGACGTGTGATTTATTTCGACATTCATCTCTTAAAGCCTTAGGAGTTAGGATTGCAAATATCATAATTAAACAAAGTAGAGTACATGAAATATTTGTCAATTAATTACTTTAATTGGTTATACCATACATGGAATATTTGTCAATTAATTACTTAAATTAGTTTTACTTAAAGAATATGTTAACCCAACCCGCAGAATGTATAACAGAGTACCATGCATGCTGGCAGAAAATTAGGGAAAAGCAAAACGCAGTGTTTGCATGCATATCAGTACATTAATAATGTGTTCTAGAATTTTATTTTGGATGCATCAGACATTTTTTTTAAGGACTCAATAATTTATAATCCGTGGTTTATACACACGGGTGTACAATGCTCATCATACACCCGGATAAATAAAAAAAAAGGCGGAAAGAACATCTTGTGTTTCATAAAGAACATACTTGTATTTGACAAAGAACATGTTTGTATTTGACAAAAACATGCATTACCGAAGAACATAAAGATATAATAAAAAGAACGAGATAAAAACTTAATAAAATTTTCTGAAAAATTACACATTATTAACGGAAAAAATTTAGAGGTGATAAAAAATCGAGTAGAGCCGGGCCATATCATAATTTCTCGTGCCCAAACCCGTAGAAAAGTAGCGGGTTTTGGGCTTTTTTCGAACCCGGTTCGAGTTTTAACTAAAAATGCATTTTTAGGTTTGCCTAAACCCACCCTATTTCGGGCCGGATCGGGTCGGGAAGCGAGTCATGCCAATGTTGATCAACTCTTAAAAAATCCTTACCCAAAATATCATTTCCCCAAAAAATAGTTTTCTATCTCTCCAAAAAAAAAATTCAACTTCCCATAATAATTTAGTTTTTTTTACTCTAATATTATTTTCAATTAAAAATAATTTAAGATTTCAATATCAAATTTCAAAATAACATATGTTAAAAGAACATAATTTATATTGTAAAGTACATATAGTTAATACCTAAATAGCACACTAATCAAACTCAAAGAATATATGATAATAAAAGTAATTTAAATATGACATATGATAATAAAAATAGAATTTGGACGTCATTACGACCTTAAAGAACATACACGCCAAATTCAAAGAACATACTTTGTATTGTTAAACCCAAAAAAAAAATATGTTTATCAACATATGTTAAATAACATAAGTTATAATGTAAAGAACATATAATTTTACTCAAAGAACACACTGATCACACTCAAAGAACATATTAAAGGTATGTTCTTTGTCAAACATAGGTATGTTCTTTATCAAACATTATATGTTCTTTCCGCCTTTTTTGTTTACCCGGGTGCACCATGAACATGGTGCACCCGGGTGTATTATCTAATTTTCAAATAATTTATCGTGAGACATTAAAAATTATATTACCTACTAAAAAAAAACATATGGAGTATTATTCAAAGTAATCAACGATAATTATGAAACCGTTTTTTTATAAGACTTTACCACGTGAATAATATAAAGAGGAAAAATATCTAACCTATAATTTAATACTCGTAGTACGAAATTACGAAAGTAGAAAGTTCATTTGCTCCGTACAAGCATCCATGCTTCACAGTGTACCATGGATAACTTCACGTACTAATTTATGACATTCAACGTACACAGCAATTCAGTAAACTACGTCACTAACCATGCACTAATTTTCAAAGATTATAATTGGATGACCTAATTTACGAGTGGATTAATTTACCACAGAATATATATATATATATATATATATATATATATATATATATATATATATATATATATAATATATATATATATATATATATATATAGTGTGGATCATGTGAAAAACAAGCCTATAGCTAAAAACATGAAAACGGACAATCAAGACCGTAGATTATGACCTATCAAATCTCACGGCTGAGATTAAAACACATATCCTCCCAAAAACCCCCAACCCACCGTCCAAAATTTTCTCTCTCCTCAAACTTGCAAACCTCTTGTCTTTCTCTCTCCTCAAATCCCAAAATTGAACACAAATTGCTGGAAATTGAAGAATTTTTGTTCAAATTTCGCATAAACAACCTAAATTGCTCAAATCAGGTACGTTTTTTTTTTCCGATTTTGTTCAAATTTTCATGAAAAACGCATGATGTTCAACTAGATTTTGCGATTTTTCAATTTGATTTTTCCGATTTTAATTTTTGCGATTTTTGAGATTTGATTTATGCGATTTTCAGATTTTTAATTTTCGATTTTATTTGGCAATTTTATCAAATTTTTTTCCTGCGAGTTTGTTCGATTTCTTGTGCGATTTGCGTGTTTTGTTCATCAATTTTGTTTGATTTCTAGTGCGATTTTTCGACTTTTTCTCATCAAATTTGAATATTCTTTTTTCATAATTTGATTAGATTTCAGATGTTTAATTTTCGATATCATTTGGCAATTTTATCAATTTTTTTTTCTGCGATTTTGTTCGATTTCTGTGCGATTTTGTGTGTTTTGTTAATCAATTTTGTTCGATTTCCACTGCGAGTTTGCGACTTAGGTCATCAATTTTTTCGACTTTTTTTTTATCTATTTTGTTCGATTTTGTTTAATTTTACGATTTCCTGTTCGATTTTGTTCAATTTTGTTCGATTTCCTGTTTGATTTTGCTTGGTTTTTGTTCGTTTTCATTTGTGATTTTTGTTCAATTTCATGTTCTAAATTTTCCTTATCAATATTTTGCTAACAATGACCTTTTCCGTTTTCATTTGTGATTGCAGACAACTGCATAAAGACTGCGTTGCAGGATACAAGGAGCTTCACCGTGGGATGCATTTTGATGCCTTCACAAATGAAATTGGTTTAAGGAGTTTTATGCAGAAAGCGATATACTGCTTCATATGGTGTTTTAGGAGTATATGGTAAAATATTAAGCAATATACTGATGTTAGTCATGTTACATGCTTATTGCTGAACTTATGCTCTCTAACCTTTTTGTTCATTGATTCCAATTGGAAGATAAAAATTATGATTTTTTTCGCTTGGTTGCTTTAGTGATGCAAACTTTGGATGTCCTTTTCCCCTTTTAATCCTCATTGTTTGATTTATTTGGATGTTTGATTGGTTTATCTTCACTCATTGGAGCAGTTGACTGTGGTTTGTTAAAAGAATGTGTTATGTTATTACTGGAATGATCTTTCTGGATTTATGCCCAGGGGATAAACATTATTTTTGTAAAGGATTGTGCCACCACCGGGATTCCTTATGGCTGTGTCAGCTACTGGATCTTCTAAGGGAGGAGTATTAGACAGACTTGTAATTGAGAAAACCACCCCTGGACGTGAATCTGAGTTTGATCTGAGGTGCTAATACTAATAATACCTTCCTTTTATCTTTGATAACATTAGAAATGCTTCTAACACATAAATGGAGTTTATCTGCAAGTTTCACATCTTTATTCTTAGCATCAATTTAACTGATATTGAGGCACCAACTGTGTAGAAGTTAGATAGGTGAGCCTGGAACTACTTTAGCACCATATCATTTTCTGTCGCTAGGCCTACAATTACTGCTGTTATGGATTTTATGTGTGGTATCAAATGTTGAAGAAGCAAGATATGAAACTGGCAGTGACAGTAAATCAATAGACACTCATCAACAACGGTGTTGATCCATCAACTTCTGTTGCACTGTCTGTTTGCCAAAGGTCTTTTAAGAAGGGGGTAGTTTAGAGTAATTTTGAGCTTGGTCTTGAATATGGCATGTGTACAAATAGTTCTTTTGATGGAGGATAAAACTAAGCTCACCACTTTGTCGCAAGATAATCTTCTTACTGTTGTTGAGCTTCACCTGATCTTACCTCTTACTTTGATATTTAATTATGTTGTGTATGTTGCTTTCGTTCTTTTGAAATTTAGTTTAGCTGATCTGAAGTTGTTCTGCTTAGGTGTTTCCTTCTTCGTTGAGTTTCAAGGCTGCCATAGGTAATCTGAGTATACATGATGACAATATTTCTCCGGAGCTCCTATAATCTTAGGGCCTGTGTCATGAGAACCTGGGAGGAGTTTATTTGTAAAGGTACTTGACTTCGGTGAATATGTTTATGAATCTAAAATCTGTGTTGGTCTTAAGCCTCTACGTTTTTGGTATGTTGAAAGCCTATTAGCTCAATTGGTTGAGCACCGTGTAATCACGGGATGTAGGTTCGAATCCTACATAGACTTTTTTAATACTTATTTTTATATTTATCGACCTCTAGGTAAATGGTGTCAAATTGATATAATTACCCGAAGTTAATATATAGTTACCTTATTTTCGATATAATGACCTTAGAATTATGGAAATGTTGTAAATTTTGTTTCAGTCACCTTATTTTTATATATAGTGACCTTTATTTTTGTATATAGTGACCTTTATGTAAATGGTGTCAAAAACTCAGACGATATAGTTACTTTATTTTTGTATATAGTGACCTTAATGTAAATGTTGTAAAAATTGTTATAGTTACCCTATTTTTGTATATAGTGACCTCTATGTAAATATGGTCAAAATTGAAATAGTTACCCTATTTTTGTATATAGTGACCTTAATGTAAATATTGTAAAAATTGAAATAGCTACCCTATTTTTGTATATAGTTACGTTATTTTTATATATAGTGACTCTATGTAAATATCGTCAATTTAGATAAAGTTACTTTATTTTAGCATGTAGTGACCTTTAAAACGTTGCGTTTGTCAAAAAAAAAAAAAAAAAAAAA